TCGTTAACGAAGGGTAGTCGTTAACGATCGTTAACAAAGGGTAGTCGTTAACGAAGGGTAGTCGTTAACGATCGTTAACGAAGGGTAGTCGTTAACGATCGTTAACAAAACGACGAACTTTATAAAAACGATCGTTTTGAAAAACGATCGTTTTTTTTAAACGATCGTTTTTTATAACGATCGTTTAAAAAACGACAGTTTTTAAAAAACGAACTTTTTAAAAAAACGATCGTTTTTAAAAACGATCGTTTCGTTTTTCGATTTTCCTCGACGTTTTCTTAACGAAACGATCGTTTTTTTCAAAAATCAAAACGTTACCAACCCTATCTACAGATCATCATAATGTAATAGTAACAACATTCTACTCAACTATGGACACCTTTATGCAGATCATCATTAGTAATAGTAACAACATTCTGCTCCACTATGGACACCTGTATACAGATCATCATTAGTATTAGTATCAACTTTCTACTCAACAATGGAAACTTATTAAAAAAAACATCACCAGTAACAGTATTACCATTCTAGCACTTAAAAATATTATAATGTATAATAAAAAATTAACCATCACAGTCTCGCAGATATTTTGTGTAGGCCAATACAGTTTCTATTACAGTGAAACCCTTAATAACGAATACATCGGAAGAATTTATCAAATGTCGTCTTGACAATTTTTCAATTTTACTATATTACGTAAATTTCAGTAATTGCGAAAATAAAAAATAGCCATGAATATGCGGGTACAGTTTTAAAGAGTTCCATATAATCATTTAATTAAAAAACTAAATATCTGCAACATTCCATTATCAGAAAGTGAAGAATACGACATTTGATGAATTCTTTCGATGTATTCGTTATTAAGGGTTTCACTGTAAAAAAAATCAAGGAAAATAGTTTAGACAAAGCTTGTCATAATCAACTACGTAATCCATTTCTCATAGGATTTAACATTTCACTCTTCTTTTCTTCTTCTCTATCCAAACAGATGAGAGATGTTTTAGATTTGAAACCTGAGATTCAGATTTATAGTTGATGCTGTCAGTCTGTTCAATCAACACTAGTCCTAATACAGGGATACAAATAGGAAATATAAAACCTGGTCCTAATACAGGGGTACAAATAGGAAATATAAACATCCTCCTAGTACAGGGATACAAATAGGAAAAATAAACCTGTTTCTAATACAGGGATACAAATAGGAAATATAAAGCTGGTCCTGATACAGGGATACAAATAGGAAATATAAACCTGGTCCTAATACAGGGATGCAAACAGAAAATATAAACCTGGTCCTAATACAGGGATACAAATAGGAAATATAAACCTGGTCCTAATACAGGGATGCAAATAGGAAATATAAACCTAGTCCTAATACAGGGATACAAATAGGAAATATAAACCTGGTCCTAATACAGGAATACAAATAGGAAATATAAACCTGGTCTTAATACAGGGATACAAATA